ACGTCCGCTCGAGCAAAAAAGGAAGTAGAGGAGAATCAGCCAAATATACTGAAATTAAAGTTTCTTACCTTAAACTTTAATTTCAATATATTACCTTAAACTTTAATTTCAGTATATTTGGTTGATTCTCCTCTTCTTCCTCTTTTCTTTTTCTTCATTTCTTTCTTTGATCCATAGCTTTTTTCTTGAGCCCTCTTCCATTTCCAACAACTCTTTTCTTCTCCAGTAACCAAGTAAATTGAGTACTCTCTCTCTCTCTCTCTCTCTTCCTTTCTCTCTCCTCACGGTTCCTCTTCCTCTCTAGAACTTCTTCAACAATAAAAGAATATTTTCGAGGCCTTAATCAAAAGAGCAGACGTCGGAGGCCTTATACCGACCTAACCCACTGTGAATAATAACTTTATAAAGATATGTTCAAGTGATATTTACTGTAACAACCCCGACTTGTGATTAGCTGGCTAACCATGATTAATTATGCCAAAGAAGTAATTAAGGTGAAATTCTGAGGAAATTTCATGTGTGTTGCATTATTTGTGCTCATATCTGTCTAATGTAGAAATATCTATTTGGATTCTGTTTTGTTCTGTGAATTGAAGGTTTTATCGGCATCCGATTATGAAATTCACTTGGTTTATGTGTCATTTAGAATTTTTAGAACAATATGGCGGGTTTAATTGAATTTCGATTCGGAGCGATTAAATTAGATTAATTAATGTCCAATTGAGTAGTTTAAGTACCAGCTGAGTGCGTGTTTCATTATGCCTTTCTGCTATATGTATAGGTCACGCGCTACAAGTTATCTGATTTGTTTGTTCTGTAAGTGGAGCCATCTGTGAGTAATAACTCTGTAAAGTTATGTTTAACTTTAATTATTTTCTAATGCTATGAAATGATCAGTTTTCTAAAATGCGATGTTTTGTATAAATGAATGATTGTCCAAATTTCTGAAATGTATTCATGGCATCCTTAGCACAAGGCCCTTGTCCGAGGGCAATAATACTGTGGTGTACAAGTACAAGGCCCTTGCCTGGGGGTAATAATACTGTGGTTCTCGAGGCCCTTGCCCGGGGGTAATAATACCGTAGTTTTCAGGGGTTCTGCTCGCTTGAGCGGACATATAAACATGTGAGGGGCCGCTCGAGCGCAACTTCCTTTGCTCAAGCGGTTTGCAAACTTCGAAAAATTACTGGTTATGTGATTTTCACACTTGACAGACGCTCGACGGTTGCTCAAGCGTAAAACTTAGGCAGACAATAGCGCCTGGGCTATGGTATTATCTCCCCTGGGAAAAATAATACCGTGGCATAGGCCCTTGCCCGGGGGAAACAATACCGTAGCCCAAGTATGAGATACGTTACCTGGTACCGGAGGTTCCATAATAGAACTTGATATGCTTGACCAACATGATCTGTTACGCTAAAGAAAGTACCACACATGATTTGAATATGAATATGACTCTGTTTCTGATACGAATATGAACATGACTATGTTTCTGATTTGTTAAGAGATTTGAAATCTGATTTCTGAATTTGATATGGACACCATTCATTAAAATCTTTACTCTGTTATTATTCACTGGGCTCCAGCTCACTATATTATTTATGTATGTAGGTGATCAGGCGTGTGATTAGGCCTAGAGCTTCTACCTGGATTCTAATTTGTCAGCCAACCTATGCGCCTCCCGTGGAGGTTTCAGATATGTCTACTGGTTATGGCTAAGTGCATAAAGTTCAAGTTTCGTTTTCTTGTTTGGTTAAACAAGTCTTTGCTTATTTTATAAATAGGGTTAAGTTCCTTTTTGTCTAATCTATATATATATGATGACGTAAGGGTGATGTGTAAATATGTATATAAAAAGTTTAAAATTTTTCCGTCTCATATAAATTTGCACAGCTCAATAGATGTTGTATATTTGTTATTTGCTTCTGCTAACCCCTAATATTAAGCTAATCTGTGTCAGAGGCCTTCGGTAATCCAAGATTACTGGTCGGTTACGATGCTAAACCTATAGGAGCGGGTTTGAATCGTGACATTGCCCATCAGTTTGCGGGTGGTAAGTAGTGCTAAACTTCAGTGTGGTTCCCAGAGCCTCTTGCAATTTGTTCCATAAGTGAGACATGAAGCGGGGGTCTCGGTCAGACACGATTGAAACTGGGGTACCATACAACCGAATGATTTCTGTGATGTATAAAGTGAAAAATGCACTGACTTCGTCAATCGGTCTACTATAACCCATATTGCATCATTCTTTAAGACCGACTGAGGCAGCCTGACCACGAAGTCCATAGTAATGTGCTCCCATTTCCATTTAGGAATAGGGAGTGGCTGCAGCATTCCTGTAGGTCTCTGACGTTTTGCTTTAACACGCTGACAATGCAGGCATTTGGAGACATAGCTTGCTATGTCTCTTTTCATTCCTGTCCACCAGTAATGTTCCTTCAGATCATGGTACATCTTTATGTTGCCAAGGTTGACTGCAAACCTTGAGCTATGAGCTTCCACCAACATCTTCTTCTTGAGTTTCGGAATGTCGGGTACGCAAATTCAATTTTGAAATTTTAGTATCCCATTGCTTATAGTGAAATCAGGATTAGGTGTACTCCTTTACTCCTCGTACTTTTTCTTGAAAAGTTTATCTTCACATTGGCGTGCTCTGATTTCTTCAATCAAGGTAGGTTCCACAGTTATGTTGGCAAGTAGTCCATTGATCTTGCGAGAAACAAGAGTACATGCCAAACTTCTGGTCGTCTTTCAGCACAGTGCATCTGCCACCACGTTAGCTTTGCCTGGATGGTGATGGATCTCTACATCGTAGTCTTTCATAAATTCTAGGCACCGTTGTTGCCTCATATTTAGTTTATTCTGTGTAAACAGATATTTATGACTCTTATGGTCAGTGTAAATCTCACAGGTTGCACCGTAGAGATAATGCCGCCAGATCTTGAAAGCGAAGATCATTGCAGCTAATTCTAGATCACGAGTTGGGTAGTTCTTCTTATGAGTCTTCAGTTGTCGTGAGCCATAAGCAATGACTTTTTCGTTTTGTATAAGAACATAACCCAAATCATTATATAAGGCATCACTATAAATAACGAACCCATCTATTCCCGCGAGGAGTGCTAGTATAGGAGTTGACACATGTCTACTTTTTAACTCTTAGAAGCAACGCTCCTGTTTGTCAATCCATTTAAAGGGTGTGTTTTTCTGAGTTCGTTAGGTCAAGGGTGATGTTATCTTTGAGAAATCTTGCACGAAGCGTCGATAATAGCCAGCTAGACCCAAGAAACTTTGAATTTTTGACACATTAGTAGGTCGTGGCCAGTTCACGATTACTGTAACTTTTTGGGGGTCAACTGAGATGCCATCTTTGTTAATGACGTGACTGAGAAAGTGTACACTAGTGATCCAAAATTCACATTTTTTCAACTTGGCATAAAGTTTGTGATCATATAATGTTTGTAAAACCGTTCGCAAGTGCTGCTCATGGTCTTTCGGTGACTTGGAGTATATGAGAATGTCATCAATAAATACAATAACGAACTCGTCAAGATAGGGTTTGAACACTTGGTTCATGAGATCCATGAAGGTTGCTGGAGCATTTGTGACGCCAAATGGTATGACGAGAAACTCGTAGTGCCTGTAACGGGTACTAAAGGCAGTCTTTTTAATGCTTTCCATTTTGACTTTTAGTTGATAATAGCTAGAACGCAAGTCGATTTTGGAGAATACTTGAGCGACTTGAAGTTGATCGAACAAGTCATCAATTTGTGGCAGAAGGTACCGATTCTTGATGGTGACCTTGTTCAGCTCCCAGCAATCAATGTATAATCTCATGGTGCCATCTTTTTTCTTTACGAATAGTACTGGAGCTCCCCAGGGTGAGGTACTAGGTCGAATGAAGCCTTTGTCCAGTAGTTTCTAAAGTTGAGTCTTTAGTTCTTTCATTTCTGTCATTAATATGCGGTAAGGGGCTTTTGATATTGGTTGGGTACCAAGTTGAGTTTCAATGGTGAATTTGATTTCCTGGTTAATTGGCGTACCGGGTAAATCTTTAGGAAAGACATCCGGGAATTCTCGAACCACGGGGATTGCATCAACGGTGGGGGCCTCTTTTTGTGTATCGATCACATAACAAATATAACTACAACAACCTTTTCTTAGAAGTCATTGGGCTATCATGGAGGATATAAAACATGAAGGGGTGGAAATTCTGATTCCATCAAAGACAAGCTCGAGTTGGTTTAGGAACCGGAGGGAGACCTTTTTGACTTTACAATTGATAGAGGCATGGTTGGCAACCAGCCAATCCATCCCAAAGATCACATCAAAGTTCCCAATGTGAAGGGGAATCAAATCTACGTATAAGGTTTTGCCTTTTAAGGATATAGTACATGATCTATATACATCAGTACTACAGGCATGATTAGCAGAAGGAAAAGACACAGACAATACATATTCTAAGGGTTTGGGTGTTGATGCCAACTTGGCAGCAAAGTGTGGTGCAACAAACAAATGAGTTGAACTAGAGTCAATGAGAACATGAGCTAAATGACCACAGACAGAAAGTGTACCTGACATAACGTTTTCGGTAACTTCCAGTTTTCCAAGTACCAAAGCAAAAGCCCTTCCTTGGCTTTTTGGGTCCTTCCTTTCTTCTCCAGGTCCTGCGGGTTTTCTGATTAGGCCAGAGGGCCTAGTTGTAGGATTGATAAGCTTTGGAAAATCCCTTAGCAAGTGGCCAACTTGACCGCATTTAAAACATGCTCCTGTATCTCAATGGCATTGTTCCCAATGAGCCCTTCCACACGTAGGGCAAGATGGAATGGTGCCACCTCTAGGGTTAGTAGAACCTTGATTGCCTGAGCTGGTTGTACTCGTATTCACCCTCTTGGGAGGCGCAACACTAGATCTTCTATTGTCTTGGTCCCAAAATCGCTTCTTTTGGCTTGGTTCCCTATAGCGTGTAGCTTTGATTCCTTTTTCTGCAATGTATGCTCAATCTACCACTTCCGCATAGGTTGGTAGTTTGAAAAGCTCAATCCTATCTTTGATTTAGCATCCAATCCTGTTTCGAATTTCCTTGCTTTTCGAGCTTCAATGGAGATGACATATGTCACAAATCGAGCGAGTTGTGTAAACTTACTCTCGTATTCAGCCACCGTCATGGTTGCTTGCTTTAGATGTATGAATTCCAAAGCCTTTTGTTCCCGCAGCGAATTTGGGAAGTATGTTTCATAAAATACTTCCAAGAATCTTACCCAAGTCACGATTTCTTCTTTCTCCAGGGTGAGAAAGCACCATTCCTGCACATTATCTTTAAAAGTAAAAGTGGTGAAAGTAACCTTCTGTCTTTCTGTGCAGGGTAAGGCGCAAAAAATCTTTTCCATGTCTTTGACCCAAGCGTCTGCTACCATTGGGTCTGGACCGCTAGTAAATGTGGTGGGTTTCAGATTCTGGAATTGTTTTATGGTAACCGGCTCTTCTCGCTGTTCTGGCATCCCATTGTTTATGTTAGTCTGCAAGGCTTGCAAAAAAGCTAGTAACTGCTCTTTCCATGATTGTTTCCATCGATTTAGTGCCACTAACTGATGATTCGCTTCCGTTACCATTATTGGCCATTCTTCAAAGTAATAAACGAGGCATTATATTCATAACGCAACATATATACCGTAATATATATAAAATACCAACTTTATTATTTTTACAATTAATATTACATCCTTGTCCAAAAGTCAAAATATGTTAGTGTCTCATCCTTATGGTACAAAAACAAAAGATGGATCAGAACCGATCATGGTTAGCTCACAAAAAAAAAATAAAAATAAAAAAATAAATTCTTTTCTACAAGATCTAGATGGGCGGATCAAACAACCATGAGAAGTAATGTTGCATAAAAAGCTCAAATTCTCACCCTAACTGTACCACACCAAAACACATATACGCTGTCTGGACTGTGTAAATGGGGACGAATTGTATGTATCCCCAAAACGCTCAATCAACAATCTATCCAGGTATCTTGAGGTATGATAAGTCATTGCTAAAGTCAACATCTTGAATATTAATAATTTCCAACGAGTTAAGGACATTGGTGAAGATGTAGTCCTCGGGGTACACATTTCCCCTTCTTGCAACAAAATTTGGGGGCAAAGGGCCAATGATGTAGTGTGGGTGGTCATATCTTAAGGCAAGGCAGAGGACGCGGTTGGGTCCGAGATATCGTCTGCGCGTGTAGGCATGGCTCTACCTTTACAATAAGTATGGTACATCAGTAGGATCAGTTTATATATAGATTGGCCGACCCATCAATTGGGCAAGGCCTGGATGTAGTCTCCTAATTATATTCTTCGAGTCTCACCATCCTTCTAGAGAGGCAGGGGTGGGGTGCTTTGCTAAAATATCCTCCAAATCGATAGCCCCAAGCTCCCCCCAAAATGCCTCATCAAATTTAAACTCGAACATTCCTACATCACTAGAATAAATGTGAGATTTTACAAAAAATAACTAACGTCGTAGGTAAATATTTATTTTTTTCTATTTTATTTATTAGTCCTAACCATTGCTCTGATACCACCTTTGTCACGACATAACCCCAGGGGTTTAGGACTAGAATCGCAACTTACTAATTAATTCTAATCTTAACAATTAAATGGCGCAAGCGGAGGCAGAGTGGTGGAAAGAAAATAATGGAATAGAAAATTAACTCCATTCTACTATTTTGATAAAAGAAAATACATCTATAGGGATTTTATTATTTTATTATTCAGTGACCCGCCCTTAGTAAAAAAAAAAAAACAAAGGAAGAAAAGGAAAGAAAACAAAATAATAGATCAGCATCAAATTCTTTTATAGGTTCCATTACATGAGGTTGCGGGTCTTCCTTACATCTCGTCACCTGAAAGGGTAACAACTATAAGTACATAACAGAGTGAGAAATATTATGCTAAGAGTATAGGAAACACAAATTAACCATGGATAGTTAGTTAGAATAAGTTAATTTGAATAAACAAATTATTTAAAGTGGCAGAAACTGAAATATAGAAATTATGTAAATAAATAACCATAACCACGGTGCAATATAGAACATAACAAAACAAAGGTCACTGGAGTGACAGTCAAAACAGAGGTCAATGGATCCATGACAAACAGAGGACCACAAAGTGGCCAAACAGAGGCCAATGGTTATTTAAGTCTCCCAAGGCATGGGACTCCCGTGATGATACTTACAGAAAATAATTGTTTACAAAATCATTGTCAAATAATTTCTAAAAATTAAACAAACATATCCATGGGTTTCAAAATAAGCAAATGGAGTTCATAAAATAATTAACGTAATTGAAATATAAATATAAGCTATAAAACACGAGTTGCATAAAATCTATTATGGTATCTTAAAACATTCGTAAAATATATTATGGTAACTTAAGGTATAATATAACTCACCTTAATATTAATCCTTACTATTTTCTTTTTATTTTTGCTAACTTCTTATGGCTGCTCCCTTACTTTCCCTTTTCTTTTCTTTTTTTTCCCTACTGTAGACACCCTATTTTTGATCGACCTTAAGATTCAGACGTCATCAATTGAGCGCTCGGTGATTGCGCATGTTGTGCTCGTTTCGAGGTTTCGGAGTTCTTGGCTGAGGGCCTCACCTCTAGACCTCGGGACCTTTTTGTACTTTGACTCGGTCCGCGGACCAAGTTTTGTTTTCTCTTCCCAGAGGGAGGGAGAGGTCTTGTAGACCATCTCTCAGTGGTCGTAGACTACTTTTCGTGGTCGTAGGCCACTGTTCCCGTTTGGAGACTAGTTTCCAGTTTTCGGAGCTGTCGGCTGCGCGCCTCGGCTCGGGACCGCTTAACATTCTCCTATCTAGAGGGACACTGTGGTTCGAGAGACCACTTTTGTGGCCGTACGCCACTTTTGGTGCACAACGGCCAGTTTTCGGGGCACCCGGCCGCGCGCTTTGCCCCCCGAACTCTCGTTTTGCATCTGTGTTGGTTCATTTTTGGCATGAATCTTGTTTTCCTTGTTTGGGAGGTGGTACAAGGGTGGGAGACCACCTTTTCTCCTTGGAGACCACTTTCTCCCCGCCAGCCGATTTTCTTGTCGGTAAGTTGGTTTTCTTGGTCTTTGGGCCACATTTATTGGTTTCCCACCATACCACTGACTTGCTTTCAGTGTGGAGACCACCTATTGTGCCTGCCGACCACCTTGTTTTGTGGGAGACCACTTGCCCTGGTCGGCTGACCAGGGAAAATGGTCGGCTAACCACCTCTTCTGGTTAGCCAGCTTCCTCCTGTTTTTTCTGTCTGAGTGCATGTCAGCTGTGCTAGCTGGAAGACACGGACTGGATCCTCCATACGTGTATGGAGGATTTGCAACCAAGTTTTTAGCTTCTTGGAGAAGCTTTGGCTTTGAAACTCTATAAGAGAGGCCCTCTCTCTCCCTATACCAGGTTGAAAAAAAATTGCTCTAAGGCAAAGTTTATATCTCTCTCTCTCTGTCTCTATATTTTAGGCTTAGAAAGTGCTTTGTTCTTGGCCTATTGCACACCACCTCATAACCATACACCTCCACCATTGTTACTGAGTTGCTGGAGGGTTTTGAGAGGTCTCAAAAGTTGGGTTTTGGTTAAGAAAAGTTGCTGGTTTTGCTGAGCTTCAAGGGTAACTCCTTTTCCCTCTTTTTAAGCATTGTTTTGATCCTTCTCTTAGCCTTATTTGCATGCTTATTTGAGATTTGTTGTCAACTAAAAAAAGCTTCATATTTAAGTGTTTTACGTGTTTGTTTAAGGCTCTTTTGGTGTTGAGGGTCATCTACCCTCTTGCATGCTCTATTTAGCCTTGTTTTATGCCATGCCATAAGGCATTCGAGCTAGTCTTTGCTTGGCCTTCCTACCACTGAAATCCAGTGGATTTTTAGTGGTGAGAATGTGGCTTTGAGGGCCTAAATCAGAGAGGAGTGACCCTCTCTCTTGTTGTCTTGTTTACTAGCATTTTTGGCCTACCAAAGGAGCATATGTTTATACCATTTGGAGGCCTAGTTCAGGTACTTTTTGGTGACTTCTAGGACTTTCCTAGGCTCTGACCATGGCTGGTTTGATCCCCTTTTGCTTGCTTCTTGCATGTATAGAGTAATCCCTTTTCATGGCTTATCAAAGGCGCATGTCATTCTTGCATGTATTGGTCTTGTTTCAGTGGGTTTTTGGCCATCATTTGGCAATGACTCTATTTTTACTTGGTTTGGTAGTCCTTCACATGCTTCATATGCTTGTAGTGTAACTCATGTTCACTAGCTCACAATGCATGTTGTTTTGACCCTCTATTCTAGCATATTTTGGCCATACTTCAAACTGATTTTGTTCATATATTGGGCTGCCTTAACTCTTTCTTGAGGCCTCTTGGTCGAAAAATGCTAGCCATGCATACTTGTTGTGTAATAGCATTGACTAGCTTTGAGTTTGGAGGTCCCTTGCATGCTTAACTTGAGCTATTTACATGTTTTGGCATCATTGGGCATGATATTTCAGAGCTTATAGGGGTGCTACACTTCCATAGTCGAGAACCATACTCCCTTAAGCTTACGTAATGACAGGGAGGGTGGTTTTGCATACATGTGTTGCAAATACTTTGCCATGCCCCTTTCTTGCTCTCTGTTGCAGCAAACCAGAAACTAGTAGCACAAACTGGTCGGCCGACCAAATAAAGTGGCTGGCCAACCACTTTTTCTGGTTTTCAGCATAAAAAGTGATCTGCAGGTGGTCTCCAATGCCAACAACTGGTCAGCAGCATCCCTACAGGTTCCCATGGTGGAATTTCAGCCTTCTGAAGCTTTGTGCAGTGTTCTGGGACCAGTTGCAAACAGAGGCAAATCGGGGCATCGCGATGGATTTCCGAAC